ATATGAAATACAGAATATTTTGTACATAACTTTTTTTTTATAATAGTTAAAACTTTTTAAAGAAATCTTATAAAGAAATGACAAAAAATAGGCTGATGCGATGTTACCTCAAATTTTCTTCTTTGTTCTTTTTGGCTCATATTTCATATTCTTCTAGATGAAGCTTGCAAAAGTACAACTGTTACTTTCCTTTTAAAACTAATCTGCCGTTTCTTGATATTTGAACTTTGGTCATCATATTAAAAAAAAATCGACATTTTATTTCCTCATTCTTGGATAGTTGTCTTCATAGTACTATATATTATATATTTTAAATTTTCAGTCAGCTTCTATAAAATTCTTATTGTGTTATTGTGGCTTCTTCTCGAATTCATATTTATTTATGTTTCGTCACGTCCGGTGTTGTATTCATTGCGTCGTAATATTACTTTATTGTCAATCATTTTACTCAGGTCTTCTTTATTTAACTTAGCAATATTTATTCCCATTTTTTTTTTAATTTTAAATAGGCCCGGCGGTGCGCTTGCATTGCCGCAGCGCACCGCCTGGCAGGGTCGCCATGTAAGGACGAGGGAAATGAAACACTTGAGTGTTGACGTAAGACTGTCTGTAATTACGTTATGCTTAAGTTTATATATTAAATTATACCCAAACATACGTATATATATTAGGTAGATACTACAGTGTAGTGTGTTAGAAGTGTAAATTTGTCTCACGGGAACTAGCCCTTTTTTTAATCAGCAGCCAAGCTGACTCCGGCGCCGCCCTCCGACGTGGTATTCTCCAGCGGCGGCAGCAATGGACTATTTCCTTCTTCAATTCACTATGTCAGTCTATTAACTTGATCGTACATTTAACTAACTTCAAGATGCAACTAAATCCCATTAATTATAAAGCGTAACACGCGGCAAGACTCGTGGGTCAAAGTTCACTTTCGCTCACTCCGCAACAAATTGTTTCAAAAACCGAACGCGACCTTTTAAGGCGCTTATCGCAACGGTACAATTAAACACTAACTTCTCAATAATTACCCAACCTGGCAACTAATGTTCTAGACTACACGATTATTCGTCGCTGCACAAATTCGTTAACAAATTCGGCGCCACGCGGCTCGATTCGACTCACAGCAAGCAATGCCCGGCTGCCGCTTGACGACAAATACCGGATCTTCCCCGCGCTGAGCGCGGGCGGGGAGGCGCCTGTTAGCCGCGTGCCCGCCGAGCTATTTACATCGACGAAGCGCGCTAACGAGTCTCAGTTATAGTAATTTATTTTAGCGTTTGGCGCAAACAAGAATAGAAGGGGAGTTGGTCGAGCAAGTAGATGAGTTTGTATATTTGGGATGTGTGTTTAGCAGGGATGGTAGATATGATAAGGATATAGAACGACGAGTGAATGCAGGAAATAGAGTGAATGGGGCTCTATACCCTATTGTGAAAAGTCAGAATGTGTCCTAAAAGGCGCGTATGGCAATTCACAATGCTGTGTTAGTCCCTACTTTAATGTATGGTAGTGAAATTTGGGTGTGGCAAAAGAATCACGAGAGTAGAATAAAATATGCTATAGAAATGCGATCATTAAGGAGTATGTTAGGGATGAATCTGAATGACAGAGTGAGAAATTGTGTGATAAGAGAAGAGTGTGGCTTGCAAGATGATGTTGTGATCAGGACTAAGAAGGGAATGCTTCAGTGGTTTGGGCATGTAGAAAGAATGAATAAGGAAAGAGTGACAAAGCAAATTTATGTTGCAGAGGTGAACGGCAGAGTCGGGAAGGGACGCCCTAGGCGAAAGTTTATCGACCAAATTGGCGATATATTGAAAATGGGTCAAATCAAGAGTACCTTTAGCCGACGAGCGTGTATGCGTAGGTATATGGATGTGGAGGAAGCGAGAGAGGTGTGTCAGGATCGTGCCAAATGGAAGTCCATAGTCTCTGCCTACCCGTCTGGGTGACAGGCGTGAGTGTTTATGTTTATATGTTTAGTGCTGTCGATCATCAGTTACTGTTTGCCCATTTGGGGTGAAACTCACAAAACGAAATTAATTTAGCTTGAACATGCTCGGAGATCGATCTTGAAAGTTATACTAATGAATAAAATTACTTACAGCACCGTGAAAGTATATGACATTTGTATTGTTCTTACCGTTAGACAGCTTTACATCTTAATATGTGTTCTAAACACTCATAAAACAATACTCCTGATGATAAAATCAATGCTAAACGAAATCCATACTGTGTTATTCGCAAAATAGCTGTGAATGTGAACGGACTGTAGAAAAAAACCTCTACCTCTATGTCTATGGTAGATTATATTATGCCGGGTTTCCACGCTTGCCAAGTCTCGGCAAGCATCCACAAGCACAAGTGTGTAAAGAAGGCGTTTGGCTTGGCTTGCGTGAGCTTGTGGACGCTTGTCCCCGATTCGGGCTAGTGTCGGTTTTTTGACACAGATCAAAGGGCGCTTGCGGCAAGCGCTTGCAACGCATTCACACGTTGGTACGCGTTTAGTAGAAATTGTGTTTTCACGAAGAGCGCATGTTTAGTTCTTTGTTTAAAATGAGTGACTGGTCGAACGAAGAGAGTTTATCGTTTCTGAAATATTACCAGACCGAATCGTCTATTTGGAACCCCAAAGACGTTAATCATAAAAATAAAAATAAAGTTGCAAATCAAGCATTAAAGAGTCGTCTGGCTGAGTTAACGGGAAAGCCAGTAAAAGAATTTTATTATTACTTTGCTTGTATTTCAAATAAAAGTATAACACAAGTTTGGTGTCCGCCATGCTTGGATATACGTAGCACACTGACGCGTTCACAAGCGTGTAAACAACGTCCAAACGCCAAACGAGATTTGTGGACGCTTGGAGCTTGAAGACGTTTGCCGAGGCTTGGCAAGCGTGGAAAGGCACCATTATGTTCACAACTTAACCAGCAATGCCAACATGTGGGGAATTCCCCGAATAGCGGGGAATTTAAAGTTGGTTGGGATTTTTTGAGGATTAGTATTGTGCGGGGAAAATGCGAGGAATTTGAAAATCAATAGCCCGGGCCAAGTCAAAACCTTTTTCAAGAAATTTAAATACTTATCTTAACACTTACTTTTCTTAACTACGTGGTAGAGCCATGCTGCAGCTATATTATGGTTGTAGCACGAATGGGTCGGCTCGAGCGGGGAGGGACCACGCTCTCGCAGAAAACCAGCGTGAAATAGCAGCTTAACGCTGCTGTGTTTCGTATGGTGAGTGTAGAGAACCGGAGACCCTTTTTACTCGCAAAGAGGCATTCCATCTTAGTCTTATAAAATAAATAAATCTTATAAAATAACTTGAAAATTGATTCATTTCTCAAAATAAAATTAAAGGAAATTTGTGGGGAATCTGTTGGTCTTGTCCTTAAATTGGGGAATTTGACATGGATTTTCGGGAAATTTCACAACTTGGTGTTGGCAATGCTGATCTTAATGTCATAAATAGGGATGGGTAAAGGGAAAAAATATATCGATATATATCGAATCTATATTTTTAAACAATATCGATATATCGTCATCATTTGAATGATGTAAAGATAAGGTTCAAAATTTTATTTACTGACGGTTGGACGACGAAAAAAACGATACAACATTTTAAAATATATCGAAATTGATACGAATTCGATACTCTAAAATAAATATCGATATTTCGATATATCGATATTTTTACCCATGCCTAGTCTGTGATTTTATTTTATGTAGTGGTACTAGTAGTATGTACAGGAAAACCGATCGATACGTAGTATTACTGATGTGACGAGTTGGATTTTTTTGACTCGAGTTTCTCGAGTTCATATGGCTACTGACTCGAATCGTAACTCGAGTTGACTCGAATCGATGTCTGCTGTAGGGAAAGAGAGGCGACTCGGCCGACTCGGGGACCACGAGTCAGCTCGAGCTCGAGACTGACGAGCGGATCGCTAACGGTCAATCAACTAATAAAATTAAACAACAAAATGTCAATGGTTTAGTTTTTAAATAATTGCTTAATTTATATTATAGCAAGTTATAGTTATAAATAGTTATAAATAGTAGTAGTTATAAATAAAATAAACGAAATAAATATAAAAGAAAAAAAATGTCAATCAAAATAAACATTCAACGCAGTTTTTCATTCGCGCAATTCCGTTGCCGTTCCGATCCTGGCCGAGCGAGCCCGACTCAACCCGAGTTCTTTAATCTATTCGAGTCGATACAAGTACGATGCAACAATTGCAACACCTTACGAACGGCGCGCGCGCGTGTGTATCGTAACATAATAAATAATAATTCACTCAACTCGAGTTGATGCGAGTTACAACGCCTAACGAACCGCGCGTGCGAGCCGCGTGTGTAACTCGGAACAACTCGCGTGTGTAAGGCCCGCCACATACATACGGAATTCCGTTTCGAGATTCCGTTTCGGAATTTCGAACGGTCGGCCACACACAAACGGAATCCCGTTTTGCCCGCAAAATATCGAACGGAAAACTACCGTACGTGTGTGGCGGGTCATAGATTTTATATGGACTTGCTGCGTTCGGGATTCCAAATCGGAATATCGAAACGGAATCTCGAAACGGAATTCCGTATGTATATGGCGGGCCTAACTCGGAACACCGCGTATAACTATAACGTCCGGTTTGCGTTCGGACGACCGAGTTGATTCGAGTTGCTTAAAACTGAACTCGAGTAGACTCGTTTAAGGTTTGATTCGAGTTATTCGAGTCAAATAACTCGAGTCGCACACCGCTACGTAGTATCCACTAAGTAGTCTGTGGTAGTCTGTGACCGATCGTAAGGGAAGAAAAGAAAAAAAAGAAAATATTATTATAAATAATCTGGAATTTTAAAGCTTTGATTTATGTATATGTATGCTAAACGCAATATAAATTGTTACATTGTATGAAACATCTCCGGTCTTCGTTAAAGTGTAAGAGAATATAACCTAAAATCTTTTAAAGGTTATTTAAGATTTTTTTTATAACACAATGGCCAAAAGTAATGTGAACAAAGGTAAAGGAAAATCTGCAGAAGAAATTTTCGCTGGCTTCCAGAATTTACGAAGCGAGCAAAGACAGTTGGCCAATAAAATATCGGAGCTCGAAATGGACCTAAACGAGCACAAGTAAATGATATTTAGTTACTGTGACTTGCATACTAACCATAATTTATCCAATAACTCTAACCTATAAAATTGCTTTACAGGATTGTAATAGAGACATTACAAACCGTGGATAAGACGCGTAGATGCTTTCGTATGGTCGGTGGTGTTCTAGTGGAGCGCACAGTGGGCGAAGTTTTGCCTGAACTTGAGAGTAACCGCGAGCGTCTACCTAAAGCTATTCAAGCTCTAAATGAACAATTAGCTCGTAAAGGTCAAGAGATTAATGAGTACATTGAGACTTATGACATCAAAGTACAGCGTACCGATCGGGCGCCAGATGCAGCCCCTGAGCAGCCTGCCAAATCGAATGTGCTTGTTGCAAGTGGTTGATGTGTTTGTGTTAAAATTATTTTTTAATTATAAACTTTTTCACAGTATATTTTGATAAACTCTAGCTTGCATACTATAGTAATGACTTAACATAACCCACATTGTGTAATATAATCTTGGCTGGAACAAATGTTTAATGTGCTTGATTGAAAAAAAAGTATAAATAGCAGAATGAGTTGTGAACATAAAGCAACAGCAGGCAAGTTAGTGCATGTATAGTAAATATACAGCAATCAAATGATGCCGGAGTTATGTACCTTTGTACATAACTTACCTGACCTAGACCTGTAAATTGTCTGCTTTACTCTGGTAAAATTAGTGTTCATGACGAATGCTAATGCTTAATTTTTTAAAATTATATTATGAATTAGTCATATTTGGAATGATTACTTTCATGTTATAAGAATTTTAAATTTAGAAAAATTAAATTCACCCTCTTATATGGATTTAACTGGCAAAAAGGTATAGGGACAACTATTTAATTACTGTCATGAAATCCACTTTAGACTAACCCCTTAGTGATCAGCAAAGGTGTAATTCTTCTAAAGTGCTACAGTGGCATGGTTTATATTTATCTTTATTATATATTAATTTATACTTTCAGTGGTATTAGGTAAGTTGACTTTCTAACTGAACATGAATGAAGTCAGGGTTATTTAATCAGAGATTTATACATGATAGAGCCATTATATTATAGTTGTACTACAAATAGGTTGCCACAACTGGGGAAGGACTGCTCTCTCACAGGAATACCAGTATTTAATAGCAGCTTAATGCTGTAGTGTCTCTAATGGTGAGTGTAGAGAATCAGAGACCCCTTTTACTGGAAAAGAGGCATTCCCTCCCTAGTCCTCAGGGGTGACAATAAATCTGCATTTTGATTCTTTAGTGAGGATAGATAGAGATGTCTATGGCCAGCATCTACTTACCATCAGGTGGTCTTTGTGTTCGTTTGTAACCCTAATTCTATAAAAATAAGAGATGTTTTTATTCATTTTTATAGTTTTATATTAGTGTTGACAATTGTAGAAAGTCAACTTTGCTAACCTGAGTAATAAATTGGTTTTCAAAATATGTTTCATATCATATAAAGGAAAAGTGACTTATTATAAGCTCTTGACTGCTAATAACTGTGGCTTATTCTTCAAAAAAAATCTCTACGGATTGCAACATTAATATATGGTGAATTATTAACATCCATAAATCAGACCCCAATATAATAATTTCCTTGTGAACAAACATATATTTTCTTAAGATTGTGTTTTGTCTTATAAAATATTGTGTAAAATAATATGATTACAGTTTTAAAACACATATTAAAATTTTTTGTCCATACATATAACATGCAACAAGGAGTGTCATAGGTTTGCAATATGTGGCACTGGCCTGCCTAGTGTGGCAATAAAAACAAATCCTACCTACAATGGGACAGGCTATTGAAAATAATTAAAAAAAAATTCTGTAAAACTGTAATTATAAAATATTATTTTACCTAAAATTTCAAAGGCAAGATACCTACATTTAAATTAGACCAAAAATTTTAAACAATGCTCACTACAAGCTTCAACAAGCAAAAAAATATATATATGATACTTATAACAAAAACACAATTTTTAAAATTTTTGTCTGTCTGTGTTTTTTTCTGGCTAATCACTGAAATATCTGGACTGATTTTGATGGGACTTTCACTGTCAGATAGCTGATATTATAAGATGTATCTTAGGCTACTTTTGTTGTAGAAAAAGAATTAGGGTTACACACAAAAAAGATTAATACCCTAAATTACACGCGGGCGATGTCGCGGGGAACAGCTAGTTATTTTATATAACAGTACATACCATATACACAAGTTGTAATGAAAAAAATGTAAATAACATGCATAATATATGCTTAAAACAATTATATATGTTGTGAGTTTATAAATTTAAAATAATTTAAGCGCAGCATAAACAATAACATGAAAAAATTCCCTGACATACAGACAGAAATACTGAGATCTAACAAATGAAAACAATATATTTCCAAAAAACTGCAAATAAAAATTGATTTTTTTTATTTTTTAATGCCCTTTAAATAGGGGGGGGGGGGGGCTGTAATCAACTTGATTAAAAGGACTCCTCTGGGCCTTGAATTCATTTGCAGCCCCTCACAAGTCCACTGTTGAACTTAAGCCTCCCCCAACGAATGCTACAGTGCATGGTCCTGATAAAGTCTAATAAAGTGCATGACATTAAATAAATAACTACTTATTTGTAAAATTTTACTGTTTAATAAGAAGTCAAATGGAGATGTTTTTATACAAACATGTTAAAATGAAGGAGAAAAAATAAAGAATTAACATTTTAATAAATTTTATATTTTTTATTTTAAAATAGTATAAAAATTGTGTTCCCATTTTAGTATAACAATACATGTATAAAATATTATTAGTACCTTTATTTCGATATATCGATATTTTTACCCATGCCTAGTCTGTGATTTTATTTTATGTAGTGGTACTAGTAGTATGTACAGGAAAACCGATCGATACGTAGTATTACTGATGTGACGAGTTGGATTTTTTTGACTCGAGTTTCTCGAGTTCATATGGCTACTGACTCGAATCGTAACTCGAGTTGACTCGAATCGATGTCTGCTGTAGGGAAAGAGAGGCGACTCGGCCGACTCGGGGACCACGAGTCAGCTCGAGCTCGAGACTGACGAGCGGATCGCTAACGGTCAATCAACTAATAAAATTAAACAACAAAATGTCAATGGTTTAGTTTTTAAATAATTGCTTAATTTATATTATAGCAAGTTATAGTTATAAATAGTTATAAATAGTAGTAGTTATAAATAAAATAAACGAAATAAATATAAAAGAAAAAAAATGTCAATCAAAATAAACATTCAACGCAGTTTTTCATTCGCGCAATTCCGTTGCCGTTCCGATCCTGGCCGAGCGAGCCCGACTCAACCCGAGTTCTTTAATCTATTCGAGTCGATACAAGTACGATGCAACAATTGCAACACCTTACGAACGGCGCGCGCGCGTGTGTATCGTAACATAATAAATAATAATTCACTCAACTCGAGTTGATGCGAGTTACAACGCCTAACGAACCGCGCGTGCGAGCCGCGTGTGTAACTCGGAACAACTCGCGTGTGTAAGGCCCGCCACATACATACGGAATTCCGTTTCGAGATTCCGTTTCGGAATTTCGAACGGTCGGCCACACACAAACGGAATCCCGTTTTGCCCGCAAAATATCGAACGGAAAACTACCGTACGTGTGTGGCGGGTCATAGATTTTATATGGACTTGCTGCGTTCGGGATTCCAAATCGGAATATCGAAACGGAATCTCGAAACGGAATTCCGTATGTATATGGCGGGCCTAACTCGGAACACCGCGTATAACTATAACGTCCGGTTTGCGTTCGGACGACCGAGTTGATTCGAGTTGCTTAAAACTGAACTCGAGTAGACTCGTTTAAGGTTTGATTCGAGTTATTCGAGTCAAATAACTCGAGTCGCACACCGCTACGTAGTATCCACTAAGTAGTCTGTGGTAGTCTGTGACCGATCGTAAGGGAAGAAAAGAAAAAAAAGAAAATATTATTATAAATAATCTGGAATTTTAAAGCTTTGATTTATGTATATGTATGCTAAACGCAATATAAATTGTTACATTGTATGAAACATCTCCGGTCTTCGTTAAAGTGTAAGAGAATATAACCTAAAATCTTTTAAAGGTTATTTAAGATTTTTTTTATAACACAATGGCCAAAAGTAATGTGAACAAAGGTAAAGGAAAATCTGCAGAAGAAATTTTCGCTGGCTTCCAGAATTTACGAAGCGAGCAAAGACAGTTGGCCAATAAAATATCGGAGCTCGAAATGGACCTAAACGAGCACAAGTAAATGATATTTAGTTACTGTGACTTGCATACTAACCATAATTTATCCAATAACTCTAACCTATAAAATTGCTTTACAGGATTGTAATAGAGACATTACAAACCGTGGATAAGACGCGTAGATGCTTTCGTATGGTCGGTGGTGTTCTAGTGGAGCGCACAGTGGGCGAAGTTTTGCCTGAACTTGAGAGTAACCGCGAGCGTCTACCTAAAGCTATTCAAGCTCTAAATGAACAATTAGCTCGTAAAGGTCAAGAGATTAATGAGTACATTGAGACTTATGACATCAAAGTACAGCGTACCGATCGGGCGCCAGATGCAGCCCCTGAGCAGCCTGCCAAATCGAATGTGCTTGTTGCAAGTGGTTGATGTGTTTGTGTTAAAATTATTTTTTAATTATAAACTTTTTCACAGTATATTTTGATAAACTCTAGCTTGCATACTATAGTAATGACTTAACATAACCCACATTGTGTAATATAATCTTGGCTGGAACAAATGTTTAATGTGCTTGATTGAAAAAAAAGTATAAATAGCAGAATGAGTTGTGAACATAAAGCAACAGCAGGCAAGTTAGTGCATGTATAGTAAATATACAGCAATCAAATGATGCCGGAGTTATGTACCTTTGTACATAACTTACCTGACCTAGACCTGTAAATTGTCTGCTTTACTCTGGTAAAATTAGTGTTCATGACGAATGCTAATGCTTAATTTTTTAAAATTATATTATGAATTAGTCATATTTGGAATGATTACTTTCATGTTATAAGAATTTTAAATTTAGAAAAATTAAATTCACCCTCTTATATGGATTTAACTGGCAAAAAGGTATAGGGACAACTATTTAATTACTGTCATGAAATCCACTTTAGACTAACCCCTTAGTGATCAGCAAAGGTGTAATTCTTCTAAAGTGCTACAGTGGCATGGTTTATATTTATCTTTATTATATATTAATTTATACTTTCAGTGGTATTAGGTAAGTTGACTTTCTAACTGAACATGAATGAAGTCAGGGTTATTTAATCAGAGATTTATACATGATAGAGCCATTATATTATAGTTGTACTACAAATAGGTTGCCACAACTGGGGAAGGA